TATATAAAGCATTTTCTTTTTTTCTCTTTTTTATCCTTAATATCTTTAATGAATGAGAATAATTAGAGCTGCACCGGATAGTGATTTTGCCGGTAACGCAAACATGGCTGTAAAAAATTGTCATTTAAATTTGATCTGCCCGCAAAAATAATAATATTTTACTGTGTTTGAAAATTAATACCTTTTAATTTTAAATTTCCTGTGATTGTTTTTATAAGTGTAGGTACCTAATTACTTTTGAGATTTTAAATGCAATTAACGTACTATGGTGTATAGGTTTAGGGAATATTATATACATACAACAATTTCATGCAAATACAACTGAATTGAATACAGTGGGTAGTTACTTTTTCTAATTTTATGAATTCACGAATTTTCCGGTATATTATATATCATTCAAAATTTTTGTATATGTAAAGTAATTTTACAATACTTTTTGACATTCATTTAATTGAAAGTTAAATTATTTTTTACAGTGATATTAATGTAAGCGTGTTTTTCGGGCTCCTGATGCTAACTCATAACTGACAATCGGGTCTGATCTCATTAGCATTTCATTTTCTATATCCAACTGATATAATGCTATTTTTTGGAATGCTTAATAATTAAAAATGTATGGATTTATTGTAATATCTATTAATTTATACTACTGATGCTTTTTTTTTTATTCTGGTTAAGTTGGCCGCACTGTAGAGTTCTCTTCGCCATTATCCGATACTTGGCTAGAAAAAAAAAACTGCCGTTTCCGTCGGGCAGTGGATCTAAATGGAGTGTTTGTTCCGTATCTACTAAAATGACCCAAAATTGCGGTAATTCATGGTGTGCTTTTGCCAATAGAAAGCTAAAGTAGGAGTCGTTTATGATTCAACTGTCTGCGGTGATGAGGAGCATACTTTTTATTTAAAAAAGGGTTTTTATCACTCCATGTTAACAACAAACATAATATTTAGTTTCAAAACTTTATTGTAAAAATTCACAATACTGATTTTGTCACAGGTGGAAAAATAGTAGATATATGCACTTAAACTAATTATATGAATGGATTTAGATAGATATTAACTATATTATACTGAAAAGTCAGGGTTGTACAGAATTACACAACATTACAAAAAATTAATACTTAAATATTCGTCATTGAATATTAATTTTTGGTACCAATCAATTGATTATGTACTTTGATAAAGGACATTATAGGCATGAAGGGGAAGTTGTCAGGTGACCTAGGCTGGTTTTTTTTATCCGGGCGATATGTTGTGGAATAGGTCGTCAATTTAACTGTTGCATAATATCACTACATAGTATAAAACAAAGTCGCTTCCCGCTGTCTGTCGTTATGTATGCTTAGATTTTTAAAACTACGCAACGAATTTTTTTGCGGTTTTTTTTAATAGATAGAGTGATTCAAGAGGAAGGTTTATGTGTATAATACATCCATAATATAGTAAAAAAACACTGATAATTTTAGAGGTTTCTAATGTGATTTAAATAAACACATTTTTTGCGCTTACATTGCAAAATAATGTACTACAGTATTGTACATCTTAAAAAGGTCTACAAAAAAGTCAGGGATGGTATATGTCTACCTCTTAGGGATAAACCACAGTAACCATTTTTTATACTTTACTTTTTATGAGAAATATTGGCTTATTTACGAAGTGATTTTAAGCAATACAGTATTAAATCTTATCCAATTAAGTACCTTAAATATATTATGTATTTACTATAGGTCAATATGGCCCTTTACAGCATGTTATTTAAATGAATATTTTCGAATATATTACAGATTTAAAATGCAGGGACATAGCGGTTGCGGTGGTACCTACCGGCCGGGAGGCCGGTTGTATTGTCTAATGACAAAAAAGCTGTGAATTTGTATATAAAGACATTCTGTAGTATATTTAGTATGTTCAGGGGGTATCTTTCGAAGATTTCCCCTCCTCGAGAATAATCTAAACAAAAAAAAATATATATCTAGTATCATCATTGCACCCATGGCGAAGCTGTTGCGGGTCGCTAGTTTACCTATATAAGAAAGTTTCATTTAGAAACAAATTCGGTTGGTATTTAAGTCAGTGAAATATTAAAAGACAATTTACATAATATTTTTGTAGAACAAACAAGATAGCTCAAAACCCAAACGCCAAAACACGACACTGTAGTTGTCCAAAGCACTTTTCGGTAACAAGGTTACCTTCTTCAGGGACTGAAGT